GTACAAATTGCCACTAACATCCGGAAAAGTCATCTCATCCATTCCACCGCAGCCTCACCTCAAGAATTGCGTCCATCAGACCATTTTCCCTCAGTACGTTTGTAACGGAACTGTTCAGAAGATCCGTTGTCCCATATTTAGAGCTAACCATCAGACCATCAGAGAGCCGGAGCTTGCCGCTTGCACTACTTGGCTGTGCGCAGTGTTGTGGTGTTTTAGCTTCAACTCACCTGTCTGGGATCTGATTTTACCTGTTTTCTCAATTTCTTCCAGTCATTATATATATTTTTATTGCATTAAACATAATAATATAGAAATTTTGCCTCGCTGCCTTGAATTGCAACGAGCCGGAGACTGGGTAACAGAGCGATAAGCAATGAGCATTACGAATAACGGGAAGGCAGAAAGACTGTTTGAAGCCTGAGCTTGTATTTGTCTTCCACCGTGGATCTAACGGTGCCCCGTTGATTTTTATTTCAACTAGAGTGTTGTTTACTTTGCCCTGTTTTGTTGTAAAGGCAAGCGTGGAGTTTTTGGAGAAAACCTAGCAGAATGTTCTGTTTTCTTTTTGCTCCTAGCGGTACTAGTTTTTTTGGCTCAGAATCTTCAGCCTGTTATAGTTGGAATATATGATTCTGCACTAAAAATTAAAACCGTAAAGATACGTATAATACAAAAAATACATACAGTCAACCGATTTAGTTGTTAGACATCGTCTGACGCAAGAATCTGACTTCCAATATTGCGGCGACACGGAGGAGTAATCTTTGGATTCCAAACGACGTTATCCGACCTTTCTTACGCATTTAAATCTTCTTCTTTCATCATCCGTACGGGAGCGTCTTTCGAAATATTTAAAGCTGAGGTTGATGGTGCTTGATAATGAATTATTTCGTCTGTTGCGAACGTTGACTTCTGTCGTGCAGTTGTTTGTTCGCAATTTCACAATTTCGCAATCGCAATTCGGACCCGGCTACCATCTGTACAAAGATAAGTTAAACCCTTTAGTAAACGGAATCAAATTTTCCCTGGTAATCCACGGCACTGAAGTACTGTTTGATGTTGAAATCTTCCTTTGTCGTATGGCCGCGAAGGGGTGAGCCAATAACAGCGTTATATTTGAATGTCCAGTTTTCTAAGCCAGTGAATGACCACCCGGTAGCATTCCTGTCTTGTCTTTTGTTGTTATCGAACTTTCACGACGGGCATTCGGAAGCAGTGTGTTGCATGGTTTGACCTTGCACAATCGCTCTTCGAGTTGGACTTCATCTTTCCACGGTGTCCTCATAATCCTTGTCCTGCTTGAATTCGGGTTGACGTCGACCCACTGTTGGGGAAAGCGAGGCGAAATACATTCGAGAGGGGCTTTGTTTTTTGCTTGGAAGTAAGGTCTTTGTTATACACCGTTGTAGCGTCCTACTTTGTCCGTTATACACCTATGTTCTCCGTGACAGTGTCGCTCGTTCTTACGATATGTAACATGATTTTACGCGTCGTGCCAGAACTCATTTTGGTTCTGTGTCTCCTTCAGTAGAAGCGACGATCCTGTGGTTCTTGGCAAAAGCAACGGACCGATAGTAAACACTCGTTTTATTTAGCGATAACTAATGCTGATTGGTTGAAACGTCGACTGCTCGAATGAGCAGTTATAAATCTGTTGTTTGAGTGTAAAAGCAGTGGGCGATCACTTTCGTTGAACGGGCTGTGGTTGTGAGTCAATTTCTGTGACTTTCTCCGTAATGACTTTGACGCTGCTTATGCGCTCCTCCCTACTTCACCTGACTGTGGAGTTTGAACCTTGCTTGATTGTCCACAGCTGAAGTTTGATCCATGTAAGATCTTTATAAGCTATACCGAAGAATTGATGCAGCCTTTGAGTTTTGTCGTTCGCCGTCCGCCGCCTGCGCTTTTATCCTTCTGACTTCTGAAACAGCCATCTGATATATGGCCAAGTGCCGAAGTGAAGTTTTGAAATCATAAAGTGATATTATATGCCTTAATTTCGCAGCGAGTTTTGTATGGTAATATTTTTTTGCTGTTTAGTTGAACATCGCTGCTCTGGTCACTGCCACCGCGCTACAAACCAATGCAGAAAATACGTTCGATTTCGTCGAAGCGCTTAATGTGTACTACTGCCGCGAGACGGGATACTTTTTTAAACCGGTAGTTTGTCATTTTTCCGCTCTGTCTCTGTTCTTTTAGCTTTGCTTATGCTTTAGGGCGGCTACGACTTCTATCATGCTGCAAGCCAGTACTGCTACCGTTACGATCAAGCGACCGGCAGTGCCGAATGGATATACAACGAGGTAGGTTAGTTTTTCCTTGAGAAAACACAAAAACAGGAACAGGTGAAGACTACTGAATGTTTTAAATATGAAGGGTCTTAGAAAGAATGTTGCTGATCAGCTACTCAGTGACTGGTATCTATCCGTAATATGTGATGATTTGCATCTGTGTTTAGTGCCTATCGGTAACCTATGTGTCGTCATCGTCATCTAAGGCCAACAAGTTTGACTAGTACATTACCCCTAATCTGTGATATCTGAGCGTTAGAAATGATGTTTTACTACATATCCTTGTTAGTTTTACAAGTGTTGGTGTACATTACCCTCTATAAATGTTTGCTTTATCCTCGACAAGAGGGCTCATACAACACTAAGAATACTTCTGTTTAAAAATACACACTCACAGCTGCACAGGCGAGGTATTTAATATTCTTTGTAGAGTCCACTGCGATGACTGTGATCAAGTAGATGTTGATAAGCAATGTAGGACGTTTTGGCGTACGCAGATTGGTGCTTGCTGTCAACACACAGTGCCACGGTCTTCGCATTTAATCTATATAACTGGACGATGTTCATCCGCATCAACTATCTGATTTTAACCCCACATGTTATATACGAATTTAACGTTCGTTGTGAGTGAAGGTTAGCGTAAAACATGTAAATTTCTGATTCAACGTCTGCACATAAATCGTTTGTCATCCTTGATTTAAGCAAGGCGGAGCTCGTTTTTCCGTTTACTGAACTGCGGTGCCTCTGCCGGCTCGTCAGGTGGTAACACTCACAGCTTAAGATGTACTGACCCTACATATTTGTGATTAACCCACTGTTTCAGGGCTTATCACAAGTCTTCACGGCTACGTTGGTGGCTAATGGTTAACTTCCCATCGATTTCTGTCCTCACAAGTATTGTTACATCCTTATTTCAATCGTTTTCTGCTCGCCACAACACTGGTGATCAGAGAGATTTTAGAGAGCCATATGCAACGGAAGAAAATAACGTTACTAACATTTTAAAGGACGATACGACGCTATGTGATCAGTTTGAAAAATTGGCCATGGATGGGAAACTATGAAATGTACTGATTCGTTTAAAGAGTTGGTTAATTCTCCTATGTGACATAAATATTTGTTACTATGGGATACCACTGCGCCATTAACGGAAATTCATGACGATAGATACTTTATTTTGGCAAGAAACGCCATATACGTCGATACGAGACTAGACTTACAAGCAGTGTCACTCAGGTGACGCTCTACAGTCTAAAACACAATTTCAGAACAGAACGCGTCGCTACTTAGTACAACCGTGTTGTTCAAGTTTCCTTACCGTATCCTTAGATAACAATGATTGCAGTAACTTTGAAGTTATTCGTTTCTTTGTTCATATTCCAGGCTATCTGAAGTAGTCACTGTTTTCTGTTCTTTTAGCACTGGTCGGAAGATGTTGGTTGCCTGATAGATTTAAATGTGTACGAGGTTTTGCAGGATATATTGGAGACAGTGGTGGTAAGTAAATCTTGATTGAAACTGATTTCGTTTGATTAGATTCGTTACTGTTTTTTGTTAATGGACGTTTTGTTGGGATTTTTTCGGTAAGTGATCGGAATATCCCTCATGAAATATAAAAAGTACGACAGCTGAGGAAAAGGAAAAAAAGTTTTTCACGTACTGGAATGTTACTCCCCCGCACATTTTGATCAGTGACACCCTACATTACCAGAGCTTTCAATGCGACGGTGACATCCCTTTGGTTTTGTAAGATTGAAATTTTTGCTTAACATTTTAACAAAATAACTCAATTTTAGGCATGCACACGAAACAAAGAATAGTAAGCCATCAGTATAGAATCCAGAATTTATTGCCACAGCAAAAATATTAACTATTTCATAATTAACATAGTCATGTAATGCTGCTGACTGAATTGCGGTCGCAGAGCACTTAAGCTGAAATAGCGAGGTTTTACAGTTAACTTCTCAGAAAATTCTCTAGAAGTTGCCATTGAATCACCATATTAGCGTAGGCTCTTTCATTTGATGTCTAAGATAGTCGAATAACCATTTATGGTTGTATATACCAGGGGATAAGGAAAAGTAAGCTTCTCATCTTTGGAATCTCGGTCTTCTTTCACTTTCATGATTGGGCCATTTTCACGCCTTTTTCTCATGAGGCTCATCGTACGGTGCTGATCTCCGTTTCTTATGCCATCAGCCAGGAGTGCCAGCTATGTTTTAGGCGTAGGGTGTAGTCTCCTCTTTCTTTCCCAGCGAGTTGCACTCATTTATCAACCTTGGAAGGATGAAAGGTAATTTACCCTTATCGAAGTTTGATTTATCGGTTCTGAGTTCGCCGCACTACCGATTGAGCACTCCAGTGTTTGGTGAAATCCTTGCTCAAGAGAATTCGTGAATAAGACAAAAATTGTCCTCGACCGGAATCAATGCGGAGTTACAGAGTTCGAAGCAGACCTTTTAGACACTGTGGCAACACGAGACACACCAAGAAGGGACAACAGTGAACGCTGTTGAATTATGAATTTCTTGCTCACACTTTTGGGCAAATTGTAATGACTACGAATGGTGCATCGAATTTTTATTGTTCACCGTAGCGGTTCATTACCGATACAATTAGGATTAATAGCCTAGACACGTGTATTTGGATTGTGCGTTGATGACTAGGCGGGAAAACAGTACAGAATACCTTTTGTTTTTACACAGTGAAGACAAGTCGGTAAACCGGATGATTGTGCGGTACCTACGTTTCGGCCCTTGTTTCATCGGCATTCTTCATTGTAGGTAGGTGGCTAGCTTCGAAAGTCCTCTGCAACTGCTGCAAACGAGAAAAAAGAACTTCAGGTGTTGACCAACCTCCCTACTTTAAAGAAGGCTCATGAAACACGGGCGAAACGTAGGTACTGTTAATTTACGTAAATAACCAAATTCTTTGCGTCGTATATGAATAAACCATAGTTTATGCTGTTTTCAGAAAAAAACGAGAGAATGTTTTCTGTTAGTACATAGCCCTCTACAAAGTTTGCACTAATGCTTCTGCCCGGAGAGAGGTTAGAAATGTAAGAGAGGTCACATATACTGATGTAAGCAAAAATTGAGTCGTTGATCACGAATGGTGGCATGGTTGCACAGTCAGAAGGGTCTGCCTCGAACTACGGAGGTGCCGGCTTGGAATACCCAGGGAGGACAATCTTTGTCTTAGGCATGGGTTTCCTTGAGCAAAAAGTTTACCTCAGATTACTTCAGTGCAGCAAACTGAGAGACGGGCGATAAATCGGTATTTTTTCAATAATAGAAACTGCTATGTATTCTAGTCTGATCATGTTAGAAAGAACGAGGTTTAGGGGCATTTTGCTCGATACGGGCGCCTTATGACTGCAGTTCACCTTAATCCAGCTGATAGCGATTATCCAGGGTAATAGTCAGGACAAGGTATAACCTCCGCACTCCAAAGAAGAAAGGGAAAAGACTGAAAAATCGATTTTGTTACTTTGGAGGAGGTTCACACATTTATGTGATGCTGCAGAGTAGAAATTGAATAGGGAAGGTATTTTACTTTGCATCATGATATGTACACGTTGACAGCGAAAGATTGAGCGACTCATGACTCCGGAATTGTCTATTCTGGTAGTTGTTATAGTGGCGTTTTTATCGGCAGGCTGCTGATTTGTTTCTATGTCAGTCCAGTATGACTGCTTGTCTTGCTTTTTGATCCTTCATTCAGCTTCAGCGCTTTGCACTTTTACACTGCTTTTGATAGGTAATTTACACCCTAGCAAAGGATCGCTGTTTTTGCAGTGAAGTAGTGTATTTAGTATGGAAAGACAATTGTCGATGTTTCGAGGCAACAAAGATTTAGCGTTTTTAAGAGAACACCATTTCGCATTGATACCAGATTTGTTCTGTATATGAGGCATGATAATTTTTGGATTTGCTGCAGAGGAACGAGGCTAACGTGGATGCCCAATCCCATGATATTCCGCTGGACAGCTACTCGTATGGTGATATGACCTCAGACTACATGCAAGCTACGGAAGGTAAAAATTCCTACTTGTTTATAATAGTGGACGAAATTTTTGCTTCATAACTGTCTCTTATTTTGTTTCGTTTGTTGTTTGGCGTCGATTTCGAATTCTTCCTTCTTCTCATGACATTTAAGATTTCACTCATTTGGAAATTGCATATAGTGCTGCTGACCACTAAGTTTTTTCTGCTTTAGTGATTGCCATGTGGTGAAATGCTGATTTTGTTCATATGTTGTATCCATATTTAGGGCATCGTCATTTATTTTCCATTTACGTTTTTTGTCCTCAAAAGGCATCCTTGTTATTTAAACATGTCACTTTAGAACGAATCAATCAGTGTGAAAAGATGGAGGGATTTCACCAGTTTCATAGGCTAGACTTTTATTGTCGATTTGGGCAAATAATGGCGATTCAAGTTCATTGATCTTTACACATAGAAAGGCGTCAGTATACCAGTATCGTGTCGACCATGGGAGTGAAAGGTTATTTATGTTTGGCCTCGCTGCTCTCTCCGAAGAAGAATGTTTTTGCACACGGGGCATTTCTAGCTAACCGTGGCGTAATGAAGCCCGCTCCTTCTTTCCGTGCTTATTGTTTTCGTAGTTGATTCTCCTTCTGGAATGCTGCCCTTCTTAATTTGGGTTGACAATCTGATTCTAACTTATGTTACTGTTATGAAATTTAGACAATATCATCCCGTGCATTCGAGCCGTCGTTGTCAACTCTGAAGTACTAGATCAGGGAACGTTTTTTGTTATTACTGTGCAAGGCGCATTGATCGGACGTGATTCGCACTGTGACGTCGTTCTGACCGACAAGGGAGTGCTGCCAGTAAAGACCATGAAAATTTCTTTATTGATCATTTTTGGTAAAGCTTTCTTAGGAACATTGCAGGGTAGAGTACGACGAGGACGGCCAGTGCTATGTTCTCAACATTCCTGAACAACATAGTGTTCGTAAGCTGTCTGTCAGCACGGAAACCGCAGTGAGTTTACAGTTTTGTCTTACTGGAAGATTGAGAGTAATAATTCTCTTCTGCTTCTAGAGCGACCCTCATCTGCTCAAACATCTGGATTTGCTGTTCATCGGCCGCTGCACGTTATGCATGCATATTCACCGTGGGTTCAACACTTGCGTCGATTGCGAACCAGGCCTGATGAAATTAGCCCCAAAGCCAGGTTTGATTTTATCTTCAGCTGGGCTCATATTTCACGCAGTGATTGCTTATTTTCCATTCTACCTTTGAGTGACTTTTAAGCGTTCAGAATTACTTCAATTTCAAAAATTAGAATTTGAATATGTTTATAATTTTACTGGCCTGATTTCGTGATTAACGAGAATTATCGTGGCCTAGTCTCCTTGCCCACGTTCGCTTATCTCATGCGACTTGTCGCTACAAACTTGCTTGCCGTCTGAACCAAGGTCTCACAGTTAGTCGCTTGCAGCCTTTTGCATAGCGGTCCGTCACTGCAGAAGTCCATCTGTCATCCTTTAGTCATACGATGTTGTCCGTTATAATCTGACTCGGATGGAGGCAGGGGTTGGGGGGGGCATTTTCTTTCGATCTTGGCAAACCATATCGGCTACTGTCCACGCATTCCAGGTGTCTTTGACATAACGTCTGCTTGCCCTTTGCTCTTGCTGATTAAGGTTCCGAATGACAGCTTCGTGTGCTTGTGCTGCTCAGAGTTTTCACATCGTTTGGCTCTTCACAGCCACCTTTGGTTCGTCGATTTTCCATCCACATCAAACAACGGTGCCATATCTGACGGAGGATTGTGGATGTATTTAATGTTGGAATGAGCCAAAACACTACTTAACCGAGAGCACGAACCAAAAACTTCCATTCTGACTCTGAACTTTCATTCTGTGGCAGTTGAGCAGAAGCACTT